TTTGTTCTAATGGCTTATTGGAATACTGAGAGCCCCTGTGAGTAAGATACATTCACATGGTTGGTTTCATTTGCACGACTTGATTCTGGTACACAAAACTTACTGAAAACCACTCAAACCTAACAAAGGAATCATGAATTCTATGATGACTGAACTACTACTACGGAGAGGCACTGACAATGCAGGATATGCCCCTTGGTCCAAAAGGACACTTAGATGGCATACATAGTCTTAGGATGCTAGTGAGTCATTGGTTCTATCAATAGCCATTGTACATTAATAAAAATGCACCCTTAGGGCCTTTATATCATATATCTAATTTTACTCAATATTAGTACATATGTTATTTTAAATGTATTTCTACATTGTTAATAATTTTATTGAGAAAAAGTTAAACAATCGAGGACTGCAATGACAGTATACATATTTCTGTTATTATAGGTTTCCTTAACTTGACCACACTATTTTATTCACTGTCCTGTAACTTTAATAATAACTTTTTAACTATTATAAGCCTATTTAAATAAATTAGTGTTGTGTCATTTCCAATTGTTTTAGGCAGTTTAGTCTGCACTTTATTTTGCATGTCATTGATTACAAATTTGTTTATGTGGGGTCATTATATATGGAAGGTAAAGAGGCAACACACACTGTAAAGACCACACAGACATATTGATAAACAGCATAAAATAGATACTGTATCTGGGGTTTGGTTTGTCGTTTCTTCTTTTGATGGTCTATTGCCAGTTTTTCAAGTAGGGATTGCTTTAAATGCACACAAGTGTCTTTTGTTTGGCTGTGATAAAGGGTCAAAGGGAACTTTGGGCATTGGTTAAGTAACGTTTGACCTCTGTCATTGCCAACAAAGGATATATAACAAAGTATTGAGATGAACTTTTGATATTGACCAAATACTTATTTTTCCACCATAATATGCAAATAAATTCTTTCCAAATCAGCCAATGTGATTGTCTGGATTTGTTTTCTCATTTTGTCTCTCATAGTTGAGGTCTACCTATGATGCCAATTACAGGCCTCTCTCATCTTTTTAAGTGGGAGAACTTGCACAATTGGTGGCTGACTAAATACTTTTTTGCCCCACTATAAATATATATATATATATATATATATATATATATTTTTTTTTTTATTAACTGTTGATTTGTACCCTTATTGCTGTATAAACCTGTAAGAGTTCTGTATATACCCAGTGGTATCGATACAGCAGCAGGTGGTTATATAAAAAAGAAACATAGACCAGATTAATTATACAAAAGTGTTGTTTGCAAAGAATACTACTCAATCATGTGAAAGGAAGATTTAAATAACAGGATTTTTACCTGCATGTGACTGGATTACTGAAGTCAGAACAACTTCACCTCATTCATTAGCTAAGTGAAAATTTACAGTGCAAAAAAGGAAATTCGCTTAGCTTTATAGATTAAGTTTTTGAATCCTATGTAAGCAAAAAAAAGTCTTTTACATTGTGAATATTTACATTAACTAAAAATAATTGAATATTTGATAAAAAATTAAAGGTAAAGGTCTGTTTTTGATTTTTTTTAAAATTACAAACATGTTATACTTACCTGCTCTGTGAAGTGGTTTTGCATATTTCAGTCACGATCCTCCTTTTCTTGGGTCCCCCACTAATGCTTCTGTCTTCTCCCTCCTGAGCAGTGCCCCCATAGCAAGCCACTTTCTATAGGGGCGCTGATGTATGCTCGCTCCCAAGTCCCGCTCTGTACGTCCATAAGACACAGCAGAGTGCAGCTTGACCCCACCCCCCATTCCCTCCTCACTGGCTGTGATTGACAGCAATGAGAGCCAATGGCTCCCACTGCTATTTCTAGGCCAAGGAGGAGGCAGAGACCCAGGGGAGCAGCTGCTCTCCTGCAAATCGCTAGACCGAGATTAGGCTCAGGTGAGTATTAGGGAGGGTTGGGGGGGGGGGGGGGGGGGAGCTGCACACAGAAGGTTTTTTACCATCATGCATAGAATGCATGGCAGTAAGAAACTGTCAGCCCTTCAGCCTTTACAACCACTTGCTCTACTAATTTAGTGAACAAACCCCATTGTATACAGAGAACACACAAAAACTCCAATGACTAAAGTAAAACATTCTGTAAAAGATATGTGTTTGGTAAATTCTGCTTTAAGGTTACATGAAGTACATACTAAAATGCTCACAGATAAGCACTGAGTACAAAATGAATAGATGATAAAAGCAACATTAAAGCTATTTGATTGGCATTAGATAGCTAACATGTCTTCACCTTTGGCAATGGCAAATGACAAATTCCCAACTGGGCTTCAACATCTTCCGAAGATATCCTAGGGCAGACTGGAAATTTACAGCCAGTGGGATATTGTTTGTGATGAGATAAGCTCTGCTGAATGTGAGCACGTGAGCAGGTCAGTATTAAGGGAAAGAAATTGCTGTAATTGGCATGATTATATCCTATCACAGAACCTCCATCAACTGTGTATGGACTTAGCAATAAGGTTGTTGAGCAAGACACAGATTTATACGTATCTGTAAGCAACCAATGACTTTTGTCTTTCTTGTTAACCATCTTTGCTTTATAAACACCCTTATTAATGCCCCTAGTTCACTGAAAATTATTTTACAATTTTCAAGTGCACAGATACATTAAACTAAACAATAGCTTATCCCTTCCAGGTGAAACTCAACTTATTTCATATATTGATTTCCTCTGTTATTTAAAAATGGTTTTCAACCTGCAATATCAGATGCTAACTAATATACAGTTTGTGCTGACACTTCTTGCTGTTAAAGTAAGCAAAGCTTTTGTATGTCTCTTCTGCCAAAACACTCCTTTCTCCTGGAATAGTTTTTTTTTTTTGGTGTACCCTGCCTGTGGAACATATGATGTCAGTAAAATGGTGAGAATGGAATGCGAGAATAAGGTAACTGCAGCAAGCATGCACAGGATTTACATCATCAGTGGCTGCCCGATTTCCAGTGTAAGAAAACTCTGGTCTGGAAGAAATGTTGGAGAAGATGACAAAGGGGCAATGGAACAGTCACAGCAAACATCGATCTGTCAGAACTGGAAGAGAACAGACTTAGAGGAAAGTCTGCCATAGCCAAAATCTAAGTCACTCCAGGGCTCACCATGGTTCAACCAGAGCACAGCTTATTTGTTCCATCATTGTAGTTTAATTAGCAGCATTAAACTTTTTTATGGGCATCCAGCAAATTTTTCTTTTATGACTTTAAACGCAATTCAATGTTGGTTTATGTGGCCATGTACACTGGGCATTTAGATCTGTATTTTAAAAGCATAGTTTAAAAGGCATAAAAAAGTGGCCCAAAGCCGTGTTCGGAGCGGAGCTTTTGAGCATGATTTATATGTGTTCTTGCTTAAACATACAAGAACACATGCATATGCACGTAAATGTATTCCAGTGGCTAGAATAAATGAATATCCTGGCCAGTTGAATGACTTAAAGCTAATGCGTGTCTAAATGCCATACGTTGTAAACGTGCATAAATAAGCATAATTATGCACCAGCTAGCATTTTTTTATGCTTGATTTTTCTGTCATCTCCTGGCAGAAAGACCCAGTGTAGATAGTTGTTGTTTTATGCATATTGCCTGATGCATAAAATATATACACTATATTGCCAAAAGTATTGGGAGGCCCCTCCAAATTATTGGATTCAGGTGTTCCAATCACCTCCATGGCCTCAGATGTATAAATTCAAGCACCTAGGCATGCCGACTACATACATTTGTGAAAGAATGGGTCACTTTCAGGAGCTCAGTGAATTCAAGTGTGGTACCGTTATAGGTTGCCACCTGTGGAATAAGTCCATCTGTGATACTTACTTGCTACTAAATATTCCATGGTTAACTGTTAGTGGCATTATAACAAAGCAGAAGTAATTGGGAACAACAGCAACTCAGCCATGAAGTGGTAGACCACGTAAAATTACAGAGCGGGGTCAGCGCATGCTGAAGCACACAGTGAGCCAATAGCTAAACACCTCCAAACTTCGTATGGTCTCAGATTAGCACAAGAACAGTGCATAAAGAGCTTCATGGAATGGGTTTCCATGGCCGAGCAGCTGCATCCAAGCTTTACAGCACCAAGTGCAATGCAAAGCATTGAATGCAGTGGTATAAAGCACACCACTACTGGACTCTGGAGCAGTGGAGACGTGTTCTCTGGAGTGACGAATCATGCTTCTCTGTCTGGCAATCCAATGGACGTGTCTGCGTTTGGCGGTTGGCAAGAGAACGGTACTTTCCGGACTGCATTGTGCCAAGTGTAAAGTTTGGTGGTGGTGGGGGAGGAGATTATGGTGTGGGGTTGTTTTTCAGGGGTTGGGCTTGGACCCTTAGTTCCAGTGAAGGGAACTCTTAAGGCGTCAGCATACCAAGACATTTTGGACAATTTCATGCTCCCAACTTTGTGGGAAGAGTTTGGGGTTGGTCCCTTCCTGTTCCAACATGACTGTGCACCAGTGCACAAAGCAAGGTTCATAAAGACATGGATGAGCGAGTTTGGGGTGGAGGAACTTGACTGGTCTGCACAGAGACCTGACCTCAACCCTTTGGGATCAATTAGAGCGGACACTGAGGGCCAGGCCTTCTTGTCTGACATCAGTGCCTGACCTCACAAATGCGCTTCTGGAAGAATGGTCAAACATTCCCATAGACACACTCCTAAACCTTGTGGACAGCCTTACCAGAAGAGTTGAAGCTGTTGTAGCTGCAAAGGGTGGGCCAACTCAATATTGAACCCTATGGACTAAGACTGGGATGCCATTAAAGTTCATGTGCGTGTAAAGGCAGGTGTCCCAATTTTTTTGGCAATATAGTGTATTTTCCTATTAAATTTAGATGTTCAAACATACTAACATACAATATACTATCAAAACTGCTCATCCAGACCTCTCATATCATTACATAAATAATATTTTATATTGCACATTTTATGTATTCATGTAACAAAGTTGCTCCTTCCTACCTGTACTTTATTGAAAAGCAGCCTGTCCCATATACTATTATTTCGAATGACCCCTCTTCTCACTTCAGCTTCTTTCCGTCGAGATGCAAATTCAAGAATCCATCGCTTAATGGGTGTATCTGCTTGACTAAAGATCTAGCACAGAGTGTAAAAGGAAAGACATTTCTAGACACAAACACAAAAACACTAAGCAGATGCAGTGATGATTACTTTGCATGTACATTATATTGAATAAATATATTTTTTATAGTAAATATATATAGTTATGATAACCTTATTGCAATATACAACAAAAAACCCAATCAACAAAATATGGTGAGCAAAAGTAATGTGTTTTTCAATTAGACTTACAGTTTTGTTTTAAGTATCCAAAGAAGAAGGCAAAACACTTTTTGTTGTTATGAAAGTAGTAGTTAGGAATTTTTTTTAAAATGCTCATTATTTCTAGGGGAGAGATGAAGAGGCTCTGTCACCTGTCTCTCTACTTCAGCTAGCTCTGGCACTCTCCTGCTTTGCCCAAAGCTTTGGTCTGTCAGCCGAGCCTCAACGTCATCATTTACAATACAGGGACGTTAACCCTGTATTGTACACTGGAGAGGATGGAATGCGACTGGAGCTGGTTGCAGCTTACAGAACAGGCTCTAGGGGATCCTGCTGGAGCGAGAAATAAAGGTATTTACACCCTAATCATGTGCCCCTAGATATATTGAGCATTTAAGTCTTAAAGTTCACTGGGTCCCACTTCAAGGGTTCATTTTTTAAATTAGTTGGGCTTTCAAAATGAACTCATCAAAAGCAAGATATAACTGAATAGTTTATTAAAAGATAGCAAATATTGCAATATTCACCTTCATTCCAGGGAGATTTCCCCCACAGTAAACTTTTTCTCTCATTATCTGCCCTTAGTCTGATGGCCAGCATCATTTAATTGTTGGAATACAATGTCCATGTGTTTTTTGCAACAACTACATCAGTTTTCAGTACAGATTTATTCTTCAAAAAGTAGATGGCAGTGTTTATATTTTTGTAGGTGCATCTATGATACTGTAAACTCTACATCTTTTCTCAAAAATAAAGTCTCCTATTTCCTGATTGCAATGAAGCAAGCAGACAAACACATGTGGACTGTGCACTGTCTGTTATGTAATGCTACACACAAATTTTTTCACAGAATATGAGCCCAGGCATAGCCTACTCATAGCCTGCTGCAGCAAAAAAAGTACATGATACGGCAACAGAAAGAAGACTGCAACAGAACAAAAAGAGAACAGCTAGTAACAGGGCTTCAACAAAGCATTAATTTGCAAATCTGACAAACCAGAACTACCAGTCTTGGAAATCTCTGATGGCGGCCCTGCATGGCTCTGTCTGCTGCTTCTCAAAAGGTCACTTCTTCTGGGGGCGGTGCCGCCCCCCTAAAAATTGCCGCGCTAGGCAAACGCCTTGTTTGCCTCGCGGTAGATACGCCCCTGATGTTAACCCCTTCCTGACCAGTGTCATTAGTACTGTGTCAGTGCTTTTTATTAGCACTGATCGCTGTATTAGTGTCACTGGGGATGTCAGTTGCAGTGAGTCAGTTCCCACCCTGAGTCCAGAATGCCCGCCACAGTCCCGCTATAAGTCGCTGATTGCCGCCTATTACTAGTATAAAAAAATTTGCCATTTGTAGACTGATTAATTTACGTGTATATGGATTTTTTTTTTTAGCAAAGACAAGTAGCAGAATACGTTTTGGCCTAAATTTATGACAAAATCAGATTTTTTACTGAATGTTTTTATAGCAAAAAGTCAAAAATATAGTTTTTTTTTTTTCAAAATTGTCAGTCTTTTTTTGTTTATAGCGCAAAAAAATAAAAAATACAGAGGGAATCGCATACCACCAAAAGAAAGCTCTATTTGTGGGAAAAAAAACAAATTTTATTTGCGTGCAGCATTGCATGACCGCGAAATTGTCAGTTAAAGTAATGCATATTGCATAAAATGACCTTGTTAGGAAGGGGGGTAAATCCTCTGGATGGCAAGTGGTTAACTGACAATTACTATGCAAGTGGAATAAAAATTAGTTCACGTATTCAAAAAATTAAATGCACCAGCTGTATAAAAGGAAAAATGGCACAAAATGCCTTTCCAAAGCAGAGTAACAGCAAAGCTAAAAAACCTCTGGACATAATTCATTCAGATCTTTGTGGCCCAATTTAGAAATTGACTCCAGGTAGGAAGAGTGTGTTTTATCACTTATATAGAGGATTATTTCAGGTAGAAGTAAAGTACCAGAGAAACCTTAACAGTATTTGGCTCAAGTAAGCAACAAATGTGGCAAAATGTCAAGTGTATTGCACACAGATAATGAAACTGAATATACAGGTGATAACACACAGGCAATTCTCAGAAAGCATGGCATAATATTTCAAATTACTGTACCATACAGCCCAGAACAAAACAGGGTTGCAAAAGAATGAACCACACTCTATGTAAGAATGGAAGAACCATGGTGTTTGATGCACATATGCCACCACATGCTGGGGGAGGCAAGTATGACTGCATGCTAAAAATGCTAAATCAACTAGCAGGAAAATCAACGCAAAGCGTGTGCACAACCCAAAAGAAAAATGCACGCAATAGGATGCTGCCGCAAAGGAAGGTGTATTTGTGGGGTACAGTGAATCTAAAAAAGGATACAGAATTTTACACCAAGACAAACAAGGTAACCATCAGTAGAAGTGTAATTGTCGATGAAACGTTAGTGTGTTAAAAATCTCATGAACTAACACAAATGCTTCAAACTGAAAGAAATTCTACATCAGTGTCACATTAAGATAAGGAAAAAAGTGACACAGAAATAGAAATGGCCACAGACAATCCAAATACTGTAAAAGAAGAAAACAAGAAACCAGCCACCAGAGGCTTCAATCAGGAAATCCACCAAAAGCAATAGGCATCCCAGCCAAACGCCTGTCCTATGCGGCTTGTGTAGGATTAAAACCAAATCCAGATTCATGGAATGAGATGCAAAGGCTTCCAACCCATAAGAAAAAAAAGTGGATCAGAGTTTCTGATAAAGAGAGATGACATCTAATGCTTACAAGAAACAGATTTATAGAACTGAGATCCAAAATGGGAGTATTATAAAGAATAGTTGTTGAGTGGGGGTGTTGGAATACAATGTTCATGTATTTTGTGCAACAACTACATCAGTGTTCAGTAGAGATATAGTCTTTAAGCAGTAGATGGCAGTGTTTATAAGCTTATAGCTGCATATATTGTACTGTAAACTCTGTGTCTGTCTATAAAGAATTTCTAACATTTAACCCATGCTCTATTATCCCAGGTTGTCCTGGATCCATCCACCCTGTGACTGGACAGTGAAAGGAGAACCAACACAGTGATGATCATATCCCACTGTAACTCTGCTTTCTCTTATCAGCTTGCCTCTTCTCAGGACAACTGTTTGGCTCCTTGTACTCCTTGTTCTCACACTTCCCTGATGTGCAGGGACTGCAAGAGGCTGATACTAGGTCATATGCAGGTAATTACACTGCTTGTATTTATAAAATACATGTATTGATGTATTAATGAATACAGAGCTGCAAGATTCTGGATTCAAGCTGTAAGTCCTACCATCATCTTATTTGTTCACTGTCCTTGTCCTTTGTTTATGACAGACCTGGGATGTTAAGATATGCAACCTTTAATTTAGTTATGTACTGATTAAGAAGCATTAAATGAGCTTTTAAATACTGCTTATATAAGTACTTGAATTTGTCTTTATATTAGACCTCCCCATTCTACAGGCTTACCCTAGTAGACAGGGTAGAAGTGATAGCCAGCCAGAGTGCACTGTGTTTTACACTTCTGGTAATATAAAATTGGTAACCTGTTCAGGGACAGACTGACAACACACGGGGGCCCCCGGGCAATATGGGATCATGGGGCCCCTGTGTCCTTGCCCAAACTCAAAAAAGCCTATGAAAAAGGTACCAGAGGCATCTTATGGTGCCCCCTACTGACCCCGGGCCCTCGGGCAGTGCCCGAGTTTCCAAATGGTCAGTCCGCCCCTAAACCTGTTCATAACATGTACTGCTGCTCATTCATTGTCCAATCAGCAGAGGATATGGAATGAGAGAAGCTGTTTGAAAGAGGAAAGTAGGCGCAAAGACAAAAAAACCTGATTTTTCACTGTTGTTTTGTTGCTCTGCAGATCCCCCTTGTCTTTAATTAAATACATTTCTTGGGAAATGAGTGCCTGCGTCACATAACAATCCATTCAGATTGTTGTATCTAGGTTATTGTTATCACATTATTAAAGCTAGTTTTTCCAACTGAGATTTTTAACCAAAACTATGCATCACTAGCTATGTGTACTGTAACAGCAGCTAAAAAGTATGAAATATTATTTTCTTCAAGCAAGGGGAAATGACAGCCTTTTACAAAGCCAAAAAGCTACCAATTCATGTATGCATGACTTAATGTCACTACTGCTTGTATTAATATTAATGTTATGAATGTAAAGTCTCTGCTGTGTGGGATATTTCTTGTCTGGGGAGATGGTCTGAAATAATTTTTGTAAAATTGTTACAGCCCTTCAATAAAAGTGTTTTTTTTTTTTTTTTTGTTTTTTTTTTAAAGAAGGCTCAGCATACTGTTTATAGTATTCCTGTTCTCTCTGTTTTATTTATCAAAGTAATAACTGTTTCCCCTTCACCTTACAGCAGAAATACTGCTACAGCGCGGCACGGCTGTGCAAAATCACGTATATATATGTAAAAAACATACAGGCAAGGTTTTTTTCTGAGTTTAAGGGGTTGAGGTTTACCTTGTATGCTAGCTGCTGTGATTTTTTATCTCACTTTGCGCTCACTTACCATATCGTTACCTGTAACGTATATATATGTGATTTGCATTTCCGTGCCACCATTGGTGGCTCCAGATGTTGATCACCAGGTGCTGGCTGGAGATTCCCCACCGGCACTTGGGATTGCCAAGTAACACTGACAGGAAAAAAGACCTGTGTGTAAACAACACAGGTCTTTCTCCTGCCAGCAATAACATGCTGCTGTATATTTCTCTGCACAGCAGAGAAATACACAGCAGCATGTTTCCCTAGTAAAAACACACACAGCACATTAAACAGCACACAGTTAACCCTTTGATCGCCCCAGATGTTAACCCCTTCCTGTCCTGCCCAGTGTCATTAGTACAGTGTCAGTGCTTTTTATTAGCATCGATCACTGTATTAGTGTCATTTGGATGTCAGTGGCAGTTAGTCAGTTCCCTCCCAGTGTCAGAATGCCCGCTGCAGTCCCGCTATAAGTCGCTGATCACCGTCATTACTAATATAAAAAAAAAATCCACTATATATACCGCTATTTGTAGATGCTATAACTTTCATGTAAACTAATTTATTTATATGTATATGGATTTTTTTTTTAGCAAAGACATGTAGCAGAATACATTTTGGCCTAAATTTATGCCGAAATTTGATTTTTTAAATTTTTTTACTGGATATGTTTTATAGCAAAAAATAAAAAATATTGGTTTTTTTTTTTTCAAAATTGTCGGTATTTTTTTCTTTAAAGCACAAAAAACAAAAAATGCACAGGTGATCAAATACCACCAAAAGAAGGTTCTATTTGTGAGGAAAAAAGTACATAAATTTTATTTACGTACAGCATTGCATGATCGTGCAATTGTCAGTAAAAGTAACGCAGCGCCGTATCGTAAAAAAAATGGCCTGGTCAGGAAGGGGGGTAAATCCCTCTAGAAGGCAAGTGGTTAATGGGACCTCATCGTGAATATGCAGTTCAGTTCTGGTAGTAGTTCACAAAAAGGATGTTGTAGAACTGAAACAGTGCAGAGTGCATGAAGGCAACTAAATAATAAGAAGCCTGGACTGAACTGATTTTATCTTCCCTTAAGAAGAGGGGATTAGGGGGGATCCTTGTATACAAAAAAATAAAGGCCCATACTGTAGATTCAAATATATTTCCTTGAAGGCCACCAAAAAACACAAGTGGTAACTATTTTGCTCCTGGATTAAAGGAAGTTGAATGTTCATATGCTGAAAGAGTTATTTTATTGTAAGAACTGTGGAAATGTTGAACCAATCAATTATGCAGGAACCTTTGGTGATCAGGAAGACACATTTAACTGATTCCCTGTTTTCCTATATTTTTGTTTAAACTTTATGGATGTCTTTTTCCAACCTTAACCATATGTGTATCCTGTCACCAGCAGTACAAGTAAACTGAACAAACTCACTAAAGTAACTGAAAGATGATTATTCACAAATGATTTTACATTTGGCTATGGTCTAGGTTTATTTAGAAACCAATACCAATACGAATACCTACCTTGTCATACATTCTGTTTAATAATCTTGGAACCACTGGGAAGATTGTTGGCCGCAAAGTCTTCATGTCATCAGATAGAAGACGAATGTCACCTTGAAAGAACCCAATGCGACCACCATGGCAGTATACCACAGACTAAAAAAAGCCGAGAAAAAGAACATGTAGCTAAAGTTTAGTAAATAGAGTTAAAATGTGCGGTCACAAAGTTTTAGAATATGCCTAGATTTAACTTGTACTGGTTTACGCATCACAATACCTTGGGAGAGAGAACCTACATTGCAGCTGTAGATTACAGATGGGTCATTGTGAAAATTGTACTACATGTTATTGGGTTTTGTTCTTTTTAAAATGAAACAGTTCTCTTCCATATATAATGCCTCTACTCTGCAGCATGTGTAAGTAAAAGTACATGAGTAGCCTCATATTAGGCTCAGTAAATAGTTTCAGTAGTCTACATCTAGATTTACATCTGCATCAACTGTCTTTTTCCCTCTTTATCATCAAATTGGTCTGCATGGCTGTCATCCCAGAAGGAAGCCTCTTCTAAAGATGATGCACAAGAAAGCCTGCAAACTATTTGCTGAAGACAAGCAGACTAAGGACATGGATTACTGGAACCATTACCTGTGGTCTGATGAGACCAAGATAAACTTATTTGGTTCAGATGGTGTCAAGCATGTGTGGCGGCAACCAGGTGAGGAGTACAAAGACAAGTGTGTCTTGCCTACAGTCAAGCATGGTGGTGGGAGTGTCATGGTCTGGGGCTGCATGAGTGCTGCCGGCACTGGGGAGCTACACTTCATTAAGGGAACCATGAATGCCAACATGTACTGTGACATAGTGAAGCAGAGCATGACCCCTCCCTTCAGAGACTGGGCTGCAGGGCAGTATTCCAACATGATAACGACCCCCAAACACACCTCCAAGACGGCCACTGCCTTGCTAAAGAAGCAGAGGGTAAAGGTGATGGACTGGCCAAGTATGTCTCCAGACGTAAACCCTATTGAGCATCTGTGGGGCATCCTCAAATGGATGGTGGAGGAGCGCAAGGTCTCTAACATCCACCAGCTCCGTGATGTCGTCATGGAGGAATGGAAGAGGACTCCAGTTGCAAATTTACACTGTTATACAAGCTGTACACTCACTACTTTACATTGTAGCAAAGTGTAATTTCTTCAGTGTTGTCACATAAAAAGATTAAAATATTCACAAAAATGTGAAGGGTGTACTCACTTCTGGGAGATACTATAAAAGCCTATCAGAAAACAATGAAGTGATCACTGTACAGAGCAGGGTTGACTAGAGAAGTGCAATGAGAGCCTTTTAATGTCAGAACACAGGCTTTTTTTTTCCCCTCAATCATGCTACTAAAATCGATGCACAGGCAGAACAAATGGCTCCCTATGGTATGAGTTATACAAGTAGCATGTAGTAGCACTTAATTGCACATAACCCTAAATGTACACTTTTCAAAGCTTTTTCATGCTGAATGTGGGTGACTTTAACAAATCATCAGAAAATGTGTTTTCATTCAGAGATTTTCTAACCAGTTGTTAAATTCCTATGCACCTTAGTGATATTTATTCTCTTGTATGGCAAACTTGGACTGTGCTTGTGTCATGCCCACATTAGATCATACCAGGCTTGACCATAGTGAGCGAGTATGGCCAGATGTGTATCTGCATCTACCTGTGAATGGTTAAACTAAAAGGTACCCACAGATATACTGTATGAGTCTCCTACCACTCTCCTCAGTAGCATGAACATTTACATAAAAAGGTGAAAGTCTATGTTTTAAAGTTAATATTATTAAAAAAGAAATATTACAGAACTACTGTATCATGCCTGCATAGGGTATTACTGCTTAAGGGTGGCCACACATGGCCTAAAAGGAACAAGCTATGCAACCCTTGCGATGACTGAGTTCATTATATAGACATATAGTTAGCACTACTGGGCAATGGACGCATCTGCTATCTATAATGTTCCCCTGAAAATCTTTACACTTGCTGTGAACTTTTCTCATTCTTCTTATAACAATGCGGGAACATCTCTCCTACTGGTGTTGAAAAACAAGAATTCAATAGGAGCACTGTAACATTTTTTTTTTTAGCATAAACCTGGAAAATCCAAAATGGAGGCCTCTCCACTGTATACATAAGTGGTTGCAATAGTGCAAAAGATGGGAATTGGTGATGGTTGTAGTTGAATTAGTTTTGTGGGTTTGTATGGCTCTAATCAACGCTGCTCTCAAGGAAAGTCTGTCTTCACTGGTGGACAAATTTAGTGGCTCAAAGGAAATTGAAGTGTGGAAGCACCAAATAGAAAGAGAAGAGATGTTTAAAGTTTAATCTCTATATTTGCTCAAAATTTGATAGAACATCTCAAAATACTTTGAAGTTTTTAGCATGCCCCCTTTTTTCAGGGCTTATGACATAAGTGCTCTCCTGATTATGCTATCTGTTCATGGATTTCCACTAAACAGTTTTGGGCAGGTTGCCAGACTTGCCCTAAAGAATTGGAGCATGCTATCACTGTCTTTAGAATGCTTTCATTCTGTGCTTCAGCACCTTGATTCAATGCTGTCATCTTGGGGAACATCTACTTCTTGGAAATCCCTGAATGTTAAGGAGGTCTGCTGTTTAAAATGACAGAACATTGATCATCACTGCTTTAAACCAGATGACATTTAAGATTTGAACTAATTTTGATATCTGTGATCTCACTAATATCCTTAGTTTGTGTGTATTTCTGCTAAGTCATTTAGTTATGAAAAATGTAGCTTTATACGAGACATCAACTTCTATATTGCACAAGTGTTAGTAATAAAGATCCCTTCTCATGATCATTTGGCTTGCAGTTTCTATATGATTTCAGATGTTATTTAGATTTTTTGTTTTACTAATCATTCCAGATTATTAAATTTTGCACAGCTTGATTCTTGGTGAGAGTGTCACTACTTTCACCCACGCAAAGACCTTACCTGCACCATTCTCTCAAACATGTGTGCTAAAGGCAAATAGGAAATGTGTACATCCTCAGATGTTGGGGACCACTGACTCTGGAAAAAAAAAAAAAACACAGGCAGCCCAACAAGGCCAAGTCAGATCAGGCAAGCGGCTTACCTGTATTACTCTCTCAAACATGTGAGCCAGAGGCAAGAAGGAGATGAGCACATCGTCCTGTTTCGGAAATATCACTTTCTGCAGGTGAAGGGCGTGGGAGACAGAAAAGGAGAGAAACACTGACAGGAAGACAACGAGAAAGTCATAAAACAATAAAGAAGAAAAATGGTGCAAAAAGGGGGAAGGTTTGTCAAGAGAAAGAGATGGGTAGAAGAGAGCAGCATACAGAGTACAGTGTTAGGCCACAAGGTCAATGAGACTACAGTATGTTAGCAGGAGTAGTAAACATCAGGGCAACACACATACAACACACCACAGAATGCTTCCGGCTGGAACAAACAGCCTTGTCGCTGATGTGCTTTTGTCATGTTGAGAGAGGCTTCAAATTATTATTAAGAAATATTATCATAGTGCCTACCTAGTAAATAAACCTATAAGAAGTAGCCATATAGTATAATAATTACTAAAGTATGATTAAAGCTGAACTCCAGGCAAACAGTTAAAGCTGAATTCCCGTGAAGACAATTTTTGCATAGCTACATTGGCCCATAGTATGTATATGCCATACCTGTGGGATAACCCTGGAAGCTAGAAATCAATATAGTACGCACCTCTACTAAGGTGATCTCCAACAGCTTCTGGGCCCTGTGCCAAGTGGCAGCACTGTGAACACAGGAGGCTCGGCACAACAGCCATTCAGGAAACACTTTGCATATTCTTAATGAATGCAAAGTGTTGTCTGATTGAACAAGGTGCAGATTATGGGTGATGACATCACAATCTCCACCTCATCCAATCAGAGAACACTTTGTATTCAGTGAGAAAATGCAAAGTGTTTTTAAAATGGTGCTAAGCAGGCAAACTCCTATATTCACTAAGCAGCAGGACAGCCACTTGGCACAGGACGTAGAAGCTAGTGATCACTGTAGTAGTGGTGCGTACTATAGTGACTGCAAGCTTCAAGGGGGATCCCACAGGTACACATACATATACTGGTCCAAGCTGGACATATGGAGCTATGCATAAACTGCCATTCCTGGAATTCAGCCTTAAATACACAGATGAAATCTATATGTGGGAGCTGTTTCATATGCCAAAGGATTTGTATTTCTGTCCATTTCGTTTTACACAGCTCTGCCATGGACATGCCAGAACAGCAGACCTGTTTTTTTTCTCTGCTACAGTTCAGTAACACTTGCAGGTCTTGGTCCTTCTTATCCTCTGACTTGACACTAAGCTCTCATGCACATTGGGTGTTTTGATAACGCTGGTAAGGTTAGCTGTGTAAAGTCACATTAAAAACGTGAGTTTTTCAGCTTTTTTAGCATTTTTGCAATAGCGTTTAGCAGTGTTTTGCCGCGATTAGTGGTGTTTTTTCGTGTTTTTCCACATTTGTGGTTTTTAGCGTTTTTTAGAGTTTTTTTGACTAAAAAAATCCCAAAATGCCAGTTTGCGGCATTTTACTGCGTTTTGCCGCGTTTTTCAGCATTAGAGCATTGTACATCTAAAAAATGCCTCTAGAAACCCACTAGTCCTGGATTTTTTTCGACCAAAAAACATTGATTACAGTCTGTGTGCATGGACACATAGGATAACATGCTGGGGAGTTTACTGGCTGTAGAAAAAAACATCAAAAGCCAAAAACAGCAGCTGTAAAAACATCAAGTGTGCATGAGGGCTGAAAGGAGAGGCAGCAGACAAGAGCACTGCAGCACAACTAACTGGCTTCTCCTACTCTCAGTTTGAGTTCTGCTGTACAGGGTATTGCAAGAGGCTGATACCAGTTTAAATTCACAGCCTATTTACACAGCTTGCTTGAAAACAAATATTTAATGACATGTTTGTGAATGCAGAGATGCATTCATTTGTGTCATTAAAGTCTGCCTGAAGTTGATACATTTATTTTGATAAATCCCATCTTAAAGTATACCTGTGTCAAGACTATATCCATGAATATGTAAATATGCACATAGTCTGGGACCAGGTTTACTTCAAATGGGATTTCAGTTTTCCTTCCACTCTTCTCTGCAGACTAAACAATATGATAGTGTGACAAGAACACGCCTATCTGAAAAAGAAGGTTTCTAAAAGATCCACGCGGAGTAGTATGAATTCAAATGAATTTAACAATACTTTATTTGATCACATAGATCATGGGGAGGTTAAACATGAGCACGGTGTACATATGAAAAAAATATGCATTCGCATGTCTACATCTAGGTATGTGGGAAGAGGAGCTAGTATATCCCTCCACTCCCTATAAACAATATGCAATAACCTGGTTGCGATACATTGATGATGTCCTAATGGTATGGGATGGAGGTATGGATGAGCTTAAAAGCTTTATGGAATTTTTGAACAAGAATGATAGAAATATCAAACTTACTTATACAGTGGATAGAGAGGTGATAACGTTTTTGGATTTGTCAATCTCTGTCCACGAAAATAAACTGGTCACTAAAACATTTAGAAAGGAAACAGCGGCCAATACACTTCTACATGCTAATAGCTACCATCCAAAGAGTCTAAAACAGGGAATCCCTATTGGTCAGTTCCAGAGAATAAAAAGAAACTGTACAGAAGAATTAGAATATAGACATGAATCTATCCAGCTTTACAAAAGGTTCAGAGAGAGGGGCTATTCACATAGAACCCTAAGAAGAGCAAAAAGAAGAGCCCTCGGTAAATCAAGAGAGGAACTAATTAATAAATCAAAACCAAAGGCAGCTGCGAATACTGAAAACCAACCGGTAAGATTCATAACTAAATTCGGACAACAATGGGATGAAGTCAAGAAGGCCCTGGACTCCCATTGGCATTTACTAATTCAAAATCCGCAGATAGCGAAAGTGGTAGGAGAGAGCCCCCATATGGTGGCAAAACGAACTCGGAATCTAAACGATATATTAGTACAATCAGAATTTCAGAGGGTACCACAGAGAAACTGGCTAACTAGGAAGACTGGTGTATATGGTATGTTTCCATGTGGTCATTGTCAGATTTGTCCATTTGTACATAAGTCTAATCAGTTCTTCAACAATGATAACTCTAGGATATTTCAAATACGAAGCTTCATTAACTGTTCTAGTAGTAAAATGATATACATGATAGAATGCCCATGTAAAAAGATTTATATAGGTAAAACCAAAAGAAGCCTTAGGACTAGGATTGGTGAACATCTGAGAGACATTAGAAATGAAAATAGGAATGTAAGAAAGGGAGAAAGAGTGAACCCATTGGCGCAACACTTTAAAGAAGTACACGGGGGTAAAACAGATGGTCTAAAAGTAAAAGGGATCTTTCTGCTGAATATTTCGGCTCTCCGGGGTGATTTTGATAAAGTCCTCCTACAAAAAGAAAAATTCTGGATTTATACCCTAGGGGCACTTGTCCCATCTGGACTAAACACAGAACTTAACTTTGGGGTGTTTTTGAAATAAATTCCCTTGAACTCTCTATATACCCTGAGTTATAATCTACATTGCGATACCTTATATATGAACTAAATATGGGCCTCTGTGGATAAAATATGAATCTAATTGTTCAATTCTTTCTACTCTTATTAGGTGGTGAGCATATAGAACAATAGGACTGTTTTTGAAATCTTGGTAGCTGGACTTGGTTTTGATGTTTCCCTATGTGAAAGTGAAATATGCTAATAATAATCTCCTGTTTATCATTCTCTTGGAAGATGACTTGATCCATAGTAATCAGGCTCCTCTTCCACATCCAGCAATCATTTTAAAATTCAAGATATATGTTTTAATTCACTTTTGGATATTCCCAATGTAGTGATATTCTTTCAACACAAGATGGCGAGGTGGAGACTTTTTGGTATGCAATTAGTGCACCATATAAGGCAAAGGATTGAAGTCCCCTCCCAGTTCTGACGAAGTCTGCGGTGATTGGCGGACGAAACGCGTCAACGTATTGACGTCACTACGCTCGGCGTCTTCACAGGGTGCGGCGCCCACGAGGCGGGAAGGAACGGCGGTGTCACAGCTCCCTGTTAGGTAGGCCCAAGACCTTTTGAGAACTACCAGTGGGCTATTATCACAGCGGTTCGCAAACGGCAATCCCTCAGGGAAACATATCTTCCACCGGTGGCAAGTTATTTAAAAGCTTACGGCTGTTGAGATTTACAGAGCCTACATGGTGTTCATAGGGCATGTTGTATGGGCCTAATTTACCCTGTATACTCGGGGAATTTTTTGGAAATCCTCTCAGGAGGAGAATCTACATATATATATATATATATATATATACGCTATCCTATTCAGGTATTTTTTTGCTGTGACATAGCCACATCCTTATAAAACCGCAAATAACCTTCTCAAATTGAGCAATTTTTGGAAACCCTTTACTGGGTATATTAAATTCAGGTATCTACGGCCTGCTATATGCTATATACACACTATATGTGTTTGAAATCCACGCATCGTGTATACCTGGTCCCTCACCCCCATATGCATTTTTGGAAAAGCATCAAGGACCTGATCTTAGTTCAAGTCGACAGGAGTCTTCTTGATCCTCATTGATGGTAATATATCCACATCTCTATGTGTGTTTTGTTTTCGGGGTTACCTGATGCCCATGATCTACACATTTATTATCTTTTTCTATGTATATCCTCAGAATCATTTGGTACTGTGGACCTTGTTCCATTTGGGGTGGCTATCCAGGAAGTCCCTACATTTGAGAGGCGGGTATGATAGTCTCACCTCTGAGAAGGTAACAGCAGTATCCATTGACTATTGTGGAGGGAGGCCTGGTAAATTTTGGATGTGATTTGGTTTCCATATTGCTAGATACATATCATGTATTTTTGTGTTCCAGCTTATACATTCCAGGAGGTCCCTGACATATACTGGGAACACACCCACTGAATATACGGTTCACACAAATATTAAGCAGGAAACCTACGGAAATCCAGGATAACTATTCCATCATTACACTACTCTGCCTTATATAGTGCTCTGTTGGCTAAGATGACCCTAAATTGAAGACGCTAAGTGTTTTTTAAACATGATTTTATTTTTTTCATATGTACACCGTGCTCATGTTTAACCTCCCTATGA